CATATAGATCAATTACTGTGTAAAACAATTTGATCGGTGAAATAAATTTTGACGACTCTACTAGTCGACCAAGAATTTCAACTTGAATCAAATTTATTTATTTCCAATATCAAGTTTCCTAAACATAATTCTAAATTTCTTTCGAAGCACAGGAAATTTGCTGTTCTAACTCCAATACTCTTCACGATTGACCTCCTAACTTTACCTCACCGCTTTCTCACCAGATCCGCAACAAACCTTGTGCCTACTTGTATAAAAAATGCGATACTAGAGGGCGGAAATGAAATCTAAAACAGACCTACAAAGTACATATGTACATATGTGGAAATATGCAGTTAAAAATCAAAATGCAACGGAACCGATGGGCTGGGGTTGAGGGTTTAAGGAAAATAGGAGCGCCAAAGCGTACCATGAAATAAATGCAACGCAACAGCAGAAACAATGAGAACATCAACCGAGAAGCAACGAAAATTGGCTGGACACAAAAACAAATGCTGGTTAGTGGGCCCCTTCTTATATATATTATTGGTTTTGGGCACAAGTTGGATACGCACGTTGGCAGTCCAGCGCGCGCGAGGCATGCAAGAATACAAACGCTCCCTCAAAAAAGAGGAGAGCGAACCAAAAAGTCGGAAAATTTTCGCCAGTAGAAAAGCAAAACAACAACACACAGGAGCTGTGGTGATTTCGAGTGAACGCGAGGACGGCGCTAGTTTTGAGCTAACGCATACGCAATTTTGTTGTTTTTTGCTGTACTTGGAGATGGCTTTGTTGAGTGACGATTAGTTAGTAGCATCGTTGAAGGAGGCACAACCATGGCAGGGTTGCAATCGCGTCGTGTCGATGCGCGTAAAATGCACACGGGTGGGTGGATGGTGGGTTATCGTGAGAGGGCGCCTGAACGGGTGCACGCTGCACGCTCCACACATGTAAACATTCGCTGTTGCGATTCAGCAGGACGCACGTATAAAAGTGTATATGTGTACGCGCATGCATTCCTTCAGACGCGAAAAAACCTCGTTCGCTAGCGCAGGAAATGCGCGCATATTTGGCTGCGTATGTATGCGTGTGCGCCGCCGTTACAGCTGAAATAACTGAACCACCAGGAGTATGAGGACAAAGCCATTGCAACGACGTTCATCGTAGGCGCACATTTTAGACAAAACTACGCGTTTGCGTTGGGTTTAGCTTACACTCTTTGCATGTAGTTGAGTGCGGAAGCTACAAACTAATTTTATTGCTGTTATTGCCGCAAATGCTAAATGGATGCAGCGCGCGGGCGCGTTCTACGAGCAAGCTCTTACCGCGCCACCAATCAAGAACGCGCGCTAGACAACGTCACGCGGTGTGTACGCGTTTTAGACCTACGCTGCTAATATGCGTAACGTACATGTAGTTTAGATATGTTGTTGCAACAAGGAGACAACAACAGCGGCGCGGCACCTTGTATGACTAGCGACGACGTCGCGGTTGTATCTTAATGCCAATGGCGGGTGGCAGTGCAACCCCTCGCATGGCCTAAATGTTAGCTGTATTCATTGCTAACGACGTTGTTATTGTACTTAGTTGCACACTAGTGTGGCTGTTGCAACTACAAAAACAGTGCGGTTTTTATTGCCAGGAAAGTAGAGAGGCCTAAAAACTGAAATATGGTGCTGCCGTTGCCCCTTATGCAAAGGTGTGGGTGTGGGTGTTTGCTGCTTCATTCTCAGCGGGTTTCTTTCCTCAGATTGTGGGGAAAGGTGTCGTTGCACACACACGCCATGTGTATTATCCTCTCAGTGCCTATCTTAAAATTTGGGCATAAACTTTTGCTGCTAAAATATGTATTTCAGTCGCTGACTCCGTCTTTCTTGAATTTGGTACATCAGAAAAAAAGGAGGTTATTGAGCCATATTTTGAGACGAGACCTGGAAGCAATTCTTGTTAGCAATATAAACTCTGTTAACTAGTAGTGCGGTAAGAGACACGCAGAGCATTTCGTTTCAACACACTCGACAATATAGAAATTCTTACTGAACTGCAAAGATTCGTTTTAAATAATAACGCGAAAACGGAAAGATCAGAGAAGTTAATACTTGACCTATGATCGCTTATATTAGATGATTTCTAAAAGCTTTAAGAAAGACAAACTGTGAAGAAATATTTCGTTGGATATACTTTGCTGGGTTAGAACCCATTGCTTTATCAAGATCAGCTGATGGTCTTTATTAGAAATTATTTTATAACTTTTTCAAAAGGTTTGTTTCGACACCGCTAACTGTATCGATGCGGAAGTCAAAGTAATGTTTCCAAACGTTTCTCTTTATATAAAGAGGTAGTCTGAGCAAAGTTATACGCAGGGATTTCTGAAACTTTATTTTTATTTCTTTCTAATCTATACGTATCCGACTTATAAATGAACTGATAATTTAAGATTTTCTGAAGTTTCAAAAAAGAGAGCATCAATGTGACCTCTTCTGTTAACAAGAAGACAACGTTTTCTTCCATTTTTCGACATCTTATTCAGCGAAAGGGTTTTCCAATGCCAAAATATGGCTTCTAAAGCCTTAAAAATGTTTTTTTTTTATAGTTCTCAACGCAGTCAGTTGCAGCAGCAGTGACCAATAAACCCGTTGCTCACTCGAAACTCAGCGCTATTAGTTGCATTTAGATGTTGCCGTTGTTTTTGTTGTGGCAACGAGGCATATGTGAAAGCCGTCGGTAAACGCGCAAAACTTCGCCGTTTACGCTAATGCCCACCAAAATGCTGAAACAATAACAACATCAAAGCAAAAGTAGGCTCAACTAGAATGATTGCAACAAAGACAATGGCAGCAACGACGATAACGATGACGACTTCAATGACTTCGACGACGGCAATACGGAGAACACCGACGACGGCGACAACGCCGATGATGTTGTAGAGTCACCGACAACTCATACGGGCGAGAACAACTACAAACGTTGCCGGCAACGCATTGCCGACGCTATTGCAACACGAAAACAACGATCAACGACTCGGCCGAACACGGATAGAGCACATTCAACGACGTCGTCGAGCGCAACACTTACGAGTGTGCAGTTACTCGAAAACTACTACCACGATACCACGGCGACGGCGACGACGACTACGAGGATAGGGAGCATTTGTTTATCAGTGTGCATAGTGCAGAAGCACACACACACGCAGGGGTGCTCAGGTGGTGCAGAGGCTGTCCTGGCTGGCTGCCTGACCGAGTGCCGGCCGTTGGAGGAGTGCGCGCATACGCGGCCACTCACAAGCAAGCGCAATTAGACGTAAGTTAAATGTGGCAGCCGCAGAAGCAGGCGACGGTGGCCAACTACTTTAGAGCTTTAGTGCAACGGTGGCTGAGTGCCACAATGCTGCCACTGCCATGCTGTCGGCAGTGCTGCGCGCCTTGTCGTCTCGCCTCTATTCGATTTGGGCTTTTTAGCGTCTCCCCACGACAGCAACACCAACAACAAGAGCAGCGTCAGCCGAAACTGAAACGACAACAAGAACAACAGGGCGCATGATAAGAACAAACGGCGATAAGAGTGGCAACGGCAGCGGCAGCGGCAATAGCATCAGTAGCTGTAGTGGCAGCAACTACGAAACGGTTTAAGGCAAGTCGGAAGTCAATTTTTGCAGTTATGTACATACATATGTAAATGTGCCGACTTACTTGCTTGCTTACTTACGTGCTTGTAGTGCCGGTGCTTGCGCTTGTGCTCGTGCTTGTAGTGCGGCCGTGGCGCGCAGACAACAGCAACAGACAGCGAAAATTTCCCCCAGTCAAAGTTGTTGCGATTTCAGTGGCATTCAGTTTGGTTCAGTTGAGTTCAGTTTAGTTTTTCCGTAACAACATGTGCGAAACGATTTCAGTCTAATTCAGACGGTCGTGCTGAGAAGACTTTGTTGTTGAACGTCACTTCAACGTACAGCCATAAAATACCCACACAGCGAACCGCACACGACACACAACATTCACGTTGGACGGCTGACACGATACCGAAACCATACACACACACAAACACTTTCACACACTAACACACACTAATTCATAGCCGCTCAGGCACGCGCTCACACGCACATGCATACCGGCTTACGGTAAAAGTGAAAAATCGTCGTGTGCGGAAAATTCGCGCGTCGTCGCAGCCGCCCCGCTTGCCGCTCGCTAACGCGCGTTTGCGGTGGCCAAGCGCCAAACACCGCACTGAGCTACGTCATCGGCCGCCAATCAAACACAGCGAAAACTAATAGCAGTAACAACAAAACAAACAACAAGTATATTGAAAACAGTAAAAAAAAAACGAAGCGCAAGACAGTAACAATAACAACAATTAGCTTAGTACCCATTTGCCGCTAGCACTGCTCGCCTCGCTGGCTGTCACCAGCCGGCATGCCAGCCAACGCAGCAAGTCGCGTCGCGTCGAGTTTCGCATTGCCAACGAACTGAGTAGAGTTGAGTGGCGCTGTGCTGTGTTGTGTTTACGTTGCGTTGCGTTGGCGTGCAGTTGAAATGAGCGCCACACGCGAGTAACAAATTTTACAACGCGCGCGCTACGAAAAATACGAAGAAGTAACACAAATACTATTTGTTGTGTATTAGTGGCAATACAACATTAATAAATATACAACGCATTGGTTGTGTGCCGGCATTTGTTTGTCGGAAAGAAACGGAACAAAACAAAAAACGTGAAATTAAAGTGAGCGTGTGTGCCTGTGTGCGTATGTGTGCCTGTGTCTATGGCGTAATCGCGCGTTTTCCGGTACATTTTTGCATTATGCATGTGTGGCACCAACACAGGCGCGCACACACACACAAGCACTATTATGTTATGCATTAGCATACAAGTGTATTATAATAAGTAATGATATACATGAATGTGTGTGTGTGTGTGCATGCGATGAGCAAAAATATGCAAAGTTAGAATTAAAAGCGGAACGCGCTCACACATACAGTAACACGCAAAAATTTCGTAAGCCTACTTCCGTTCAAACACCTATTCACACTCACTAATGCACACATACGAACTAATAATTAAATATATGAACTCAAATCGTTCTTTATGTGCATTTGCGCTTGCTTAGGTGAAGTGTGTCATAGTTTGGAGAAAGTAATGAGCAATGTCGGAGTTGAAGAAATACGTATGTACATATGTATAGAGAAAGAAATAGCAAAAAAAAAAAAAAAAACAATAATTAGAATAAAGAATGAAATAATTGGAAAAAATATTTAAAAACAAAATCGATAAAACGATTTGTATGCAATAATGCTAGGGGTTCATGATTTTTTTACATCTTAAAGGACAACTATTTCCTTAACTTTATATAATTTCTATAAATCATGCTAATTGCATAATTAAAATAATTAAGCAATTTTGCTAAATAACAATAATTCGTTATTAATAATCAAAGTACATACAAATGTAGTATGACTAACAGACTTGGTCTTATTAAGGAGAGCTGATCACAACCATTGTTAATAGAAAAGTTGAAAGAAGCACGATCAAACCATTTTCCGACCGGAAATAACGAATTTCTGTAGATATATTTATGAATTGAACTACAATCTAAGACGGTCTTGTACTTTAATGAAAATTAAGATTAAATTTGTTTTCAACACGAATGAATGTTTGGTAACGAAAGATCGATTATTGATCCTTTTATGATAATCCTTTTGCAGAAGTCGCTTTAAAATAAATTACCGAAAAAACAATGAACATATCTACCGAATAGCCGTAAATAGGCAATTGGTGGAGGTTTTCTAATTAAAATAATTTAGTTAAATTCTCGATATACTTGTAATTACTTTGAATCTTTCTCTTTTAGAAACTTACTTTGAATTCCATCTTCTAATTTCATTCATATTAGTAGCGATTTTCGTGTGCAAAATCTCAGGAAGCACAAGAATGTTTTTCTACTAAGATCTTACAAACGATCTTTAATGCTTTAAAGTACTATTTTCTAATTAAACATCTTCACCGAATAAAAAATTATGTAGAAAGAGTAGTCATTTCCTCTAACTTGAAAATTGATCAAGAGCTACATTTAAGAAAAGATTTCTATCAAAAGTGTACCAAAATTGTGTTGGTTATTTGGAGTTATTTTTAAACGAATATCATGATTTATGATCATTGGGCAGAAACCATTTTGTAGCAAATAGGTTAATTCTTGACTTGAGCAAATTTGCCTGATTTGAAATACAAATTCTTAAATAAAATGTGATAAGTTTCCTTCTTCCGCCAAAGTTAATATACCCTATTAAGTTATCTTCCCGATCCGTGAGATTAGTTTTTCTAGCGCACTATATTTTCATTTAATAAGAGAATTTAGACATTTGTGAGGTACATTATACAAACGTTTCTTTTGCAAAAAAAAAAGTGTGGCAAGGCCGCCGGCATAACCGATCAAACCGATCAAACCGTTAACCGTTTTCAGTTCACTTTAACGGATTTTGGATATGAGTTATATGAAAAAATTAGCTAATATCTATTTATAGCAGTCGTGGAATATACCCAGCAATTCTGTCCGATTTCCCGATCTTTTCTTTAAATGTAGATTGAAATCCAATTTATTGCATCATGGACAGTTTATAAATATGTGGAATAACCACCAATTCAATCTTCGTTATATTGAGAAATATGCATTTATATATATTAAATTACAGGGTATCATCAATATATATATAAAATACATGTCAAATTGTTTGTCCGGGTTAAGCTCCTGAACCATTGAATCGATTTTAGTAAGATTTGGCACAATCGAAAATCCGGATATTAGTATATAGTGGCTGCGTCGCTAAAATGTATCTATTTTAAACATAAAAATGCACTGTTTTGAGTAAAAATATCCTCTATCCTTTTCACTCACATATTGGCCGATGTATGCGGTACAAGGTCACCAGGCAGTTCGAAAATTTTTATCTTAGGTATTTGGGGCCTACGGGAAGTATTTATGCGATTCAACCCATTTTTGGCATACATACATTCCATCGTCTTATAATTATTATCAATTATGTACCTCATCATTGACCAATACTTTCGACTAAATGTCAACTATAGATACTGGGGTTCAACTCCTCGGTACTTAGGGGATTGAAAAGTTTTTGCTGGATTTGAGCAATTTTTGGTCATAAAGTGGAACACTTATACTTATGTACTGGAAAGTGAAAGAATCAGGTGAAATTGTGTTATATTAGAAGTAGGCGTGGTTGTTGTCCGATTTCGCCCATTTTCACACCGCAATGTCGAAATCGGTCGGTCGGGWCCCGCGATATTGACATTGAGTAATATCAAACCCTAACACTTAACTTAATCTTAAGCCAACGTATAAATTGARRTCAGCAACAGATCCCACAACAAATAATTTTTTCAAAAACTATCAAACAAATAAAAATATTGTATATATCCAAACTCTTTTATTGCCAACCTATAAAAATGTTCAAAACTATGTATCTTTTAAGTGAGAAAAATTATGRAAATGTGTATACAAATAAGAATGTTAAGGAAATGTGTATACAATTAGTTAATGAACACAAAAACTTAATGCCAATATGACTAMGKTCTTACAACTTAAATTCTGAAGAAAGAATGAAAATTTTGGTCAGCCAATGCTTAACCGCCGCTACCGTAACCAAAATAAACACACAGTGATCATTGATTAACCACCGAGCGACAACAGGTAAAATGACGTCCAACTCACCGCCACCGCAAGGAGGCGGCCTACGACCGCTGAGCGCCGCCGATAATGCGACAACTTCATCGCCTTTTCGTTCGCTGCTCTCAAGTCCAATGTTATCACGGCAGCGTGCCAATCTCGCAGCACGCACCTCATCGACTTCGTCGGTTTCATCGCCCGCGTCTCCACAACCACCGCCGCCAAGACCCGCTTCCGTATTGCCAAGCTTTCTTGGCAGTCCACTCACACCGCCGCCTCCGACAGCACCTACACACTCGGCAACCTGTGGGGAACAAGGTGACGATAGTTTAGCGACCCTCGAACACGAGTCTAAAGCAGGCCGCTGTACTCCGCTGTTGCGTGAGGAGTCGCCAATACCACCCGCATGCTCGACCACTACACACACGCCAACACYTGGTGGTGAAAACATTGGAGCACGTGTCATATCACCCAGTGGCACTAGTGCTGTTGGGGCGGCTCAAGCGATCTCACCGCATTCCTCAACTGGCTCGACGGCCACTGTACCGCAACAATTTTGTCTGCGTTGGAACAATTACCAAAGCAATTTGACAAGCGTCTTCGATCAGCTCTTGCAAAGCGAATCGTTTGTCGATGTGACCTTGGCTTGTGATGGACGTTCGATTAAGGCGCACAAAATGATACTCTCCGCGTGCTCACCCTATTTTCAGATGTTGTTTTCGGACACACCTTGCCAGCATCCCATTGTTATTATGCGTGATGTCAACTGGTCCGATTTGAAGGCGATCGTCGAATTCATGTATCGTGGTGAGATCAATGTTAGTCAAGATCAGATTGGTCCGCTTTTGCGTATCGCTGAAATGTTGAAGGTGCGTGGACTGGCGGATGTTAGCGCGGGTAGTGTGTCCGCAGAAGAAGCAGCCGCGGAACGTTTACTAAAAGAACTGCATTCTCCATCCAAATCGTGTTCACCAAAGAGAGGCGGAGATGGTGGATCTCCAGCCTCGAAACGTGAACGTAAGGATTATCATGATCCGCTTACCGAATCAGAGGAGCAGTTAGCTTTTCTGGACGCTGAGAAAAAGTTGCGCTTAGGTCGCAATGACTGGGATTTTAGTACAGCAACTAGTGGCAGCAGCACCAGCGGCGATATTATCGGTGGYAGTAGCAATCTAGAGTTACGGCTATCTCCTCTACTYTTGCCACAACAACAGCAGCAGCAAGCTTCGCAGCAGCAACTACAGCAATCACGTCACGTACGCAAACGACGATGGCCATCAGCTGACATGATCTTCAATCCGCCACCAAGTCCCTTAAGTGGTCTCATTGCRGCCGAACGAGCTGAACGCGAACGGGAGCGAGAACGTGAACGCGAGCGAGAACGTGATCGTGATTGTACAATAATAACACCGCCTCAAACCACAGCAGCTGCTGGCACAGCTCCCTCCAGCACAACGCAATCAAGCGTGCGTAGTACATCACGTCTAACACCTTCATTGCTTGAGACCGCCGCTCACTTAGACCTGCCCTCACCGTCGACGACACCGGCACCATCTCTCTTGCGTCCCATGCGCACACCACCTGGTGTCGCTACGCATCTGTCGCATCAACAGTCACAACAACAAGCGCATCACCAGCAACAACAACAGCAGCAACAGCAATCACATCTTCCCGGACAAGCACAGTCRCAGCAATCGCATCTCCTGCACTCACATCGCGCATCGCCTGCCTCATCAGCGGCGACGCCTACACACCCTTCCAGCTTGATCAGTGGCCAACTCACAGCTACAYCCGTGGGTAGTAGTGGTGTGAGCGGCCGTTCAGAGCAGGGTGGTGGCGCTAATGACTCGCGTTTTGCACTGGGCTCTCAAGCGGCTGCGATGGCGGCCGCTGTAGCTGCACAAATGGACTTGGGAGCGATGGGCATGCCACACGGTAGTGCTCCAACACCGACGCATGCCCCACATCATCACACTTCCTCACTGGCCGATGATCTAGAAATAAAACCGGGAATTGCGGAAATGATACGCGAGGAAGAGCGGGTGAGTCTATTAAGTACTTTCATTCACTAAACCATCTCATGCTTAGCTCCACTTATCTAACTGCTAACTGGTGTTCCCTCAATCACAACCACCTACACATTAATTGTGAACTCGACGTCCAAGTGATTAATTCAAATTTCAGTATAATAATTTAAGCCATCGCTCACTGAAAGTCACGTTTTATTCTGATTTTTATTCTCGCGTGTTCGCGGTATCCACACGTCAACGCCGCGCATATACGAGAATGTACCGTTGAAATAAATTTTTTACTCGCTGATCGTTGCTCAGTTCATGTTGCTTCGGTARACGTCACAAAAGTGACACTAATCGGCATTGCGTTTTAGCCACCACAGCAGTATTAATGCTTTAGGCATTATATTAAAGTGTATACCCTGTAGGGAAATCTTTAAAAATTATAGTCGGTTCCAACAGCTTCGCGTAMTCATCTTTGGATGAAGTGGGCGGAAAGAGCAATGCTGAATCCAAATTATTACATCCTCAAGAACGRCTTCTGGATCAATTTCGGCTGGATATTTTCCTACTTTTTCTCTGCATCACTTTGTATCTCCGCTCACTACTCATTCGTTTATTCGTTAAAGTCATTTTTAATAATTTAGTTGTAACAGGGTAACTGGAAGTATACATCGACAGTGAACACTAATAAGATTATATAAATACTTTATATTTACTTAGCAACATTCAACCGAAATTTTCTACCAACAATCTACWTATACAACTTTATGGAATTTTTCTTCGCTGCCAACTTGGCGCTCTTGATCGCCGAATTGACGAAGCACCCTCTTTGCTTTTTAAATATTACACTTGGCTCTCCCGCCCGGTGTTGCATACTTAATAGCTGATTATTGTAATTGGTGCTTTACTTCACTTATATCTTAGCAAGCTATTTTATAAAATAACTCTTGTCGCAGCAGCGTTGTTTACAGTCTTCTCTTGATGCGACTTTTTCATCAGAAATTTGCCTTAGACAGGAAGAAAAAATAATCCCTTGGGGACAGGTCTGCACTACAAAGCGAATGCATAAGAACCTCCCATCCAAGCTGCCTCAGCTTCTAGGGAGTCACTACCGTTGTGTGTTGCTTTGGCGATCCAATGGTTGACAGCAGAGGTCAGAGTTAAGAGTTTGACAATAAGGGAATATATCACAGTAGATAATTTCCTGTCATTCTCTCCAASTACAAGACAAAACCTTCTTGACCTTCGACCTTGGCTATGTCAATCGGTTTACCGCGATTCGAGCACGCTAGTTTTCACTTTACGTTATCGTAAATGATCCACTTTTTACCACATATAACCAACTGTTTCCAGAATAGATCGATTTTGTTGCGATTCAGCAGCGAAAAGCAGATGAAAACCCAGTTGCTGTTCCTATGCTTATCTGGGCCTTACAACACATGTCATTTTATGGAAAATTGATGGGCAGGTAGGTCCACGATAAAAAACTACAGGTACTCACAGTAATGTTCTTGAACTCCCGGGCGACTATCCCAGCTTAGGCTTAGGTGTCAAAAAATCCAAAAAATCAATTTTCACTTTTTAGTTGATTYGGATGGAAGATGAGATTTTTAACAGCTGTTTCCCAGAAAACTAGTTTTCGCACGTTAGCTCCCTTTCGTAGGCCAGGTCACATATAATGATTTTCGTTTTTCTAGCAAATCTTAWGCCGAATATGTTGACAATCTGCTTGACATTTCGCACCTTTAGGTATTTCCCTGGCCTTATACACGACATAGTCCCTAATTGTTTTAATATATTGATCTGAAATTTTTTGAACATCATTTGCTCCTCAATAAGCTGATCATTTTTTGGATCCACCGATGTCGGATCACCATAGGATATAGCTGCCATACAAACTACTGACCGACCAAAATCAATTTATTTTTCGTTTTATCTGGTTTTTTTTATATACATATGTAAGTACAACTCTTTCCACTACCTTTRCATTTCATTCCGAATATAGGAGAAAAGTATAAAAGTATTTGCATAGAAATATATGTGTATATGTATGTATGTATATATACATACTAACAACTACATAAGCCGACCAAAGGACTTATTACCACCATACATATTTATCTATTTTATACAATACACAAACACATATTAATGCGAGTATACYTTTTATCGGTTTCCGGATGGCTTTTCAAATATTTATTTTAGTGAGTTTTTTTCTTAGTTTTTTAAATCCATAATTGATCGCATCGTGTCGAGGAAAAAGATCGCAGCAGCGGTTCAACGAACTGCAAGCCAAACAATACCGACAAAAATTAACTGCAACAAGCAACAAAAACATCTAATGACGCGCACAAGCAAGGTTTCAACCGCASACACTCATTTACATACTTATATACGCATATGTAAGTGTATGGCAGGCAAGCACAGAAGAAGAGGGGGGATAAAAAAATATTAAAAATTATTATAAATACTTACAAAAATAACACTCACATAAAAGTGCAATTAATCACGAAGCCAAGCGGACAGCGCAAAACAAARGCGCAGGTTAAGCGACGGCAAACTGAGGAGCACTTCGATTGCAATTCAAGGCGCGTGTGTGTGTGTCTGCGCGCACAGCGCTGTGGGTATATCGGATGCTGCTAAGTACGGGTATTGTCAGCGCGGCTGCCCGGTGCGCAGCAACACGCTGCTGAGTGTGCGCACACAACGTCGCTGACTTCTTGTCTAACTGACTGACTGACTGACACTTATCTTCTTTCTATCTGCTTATAAAAAATTAAACTGATTCTCGCTCTGCGGCAAACGAAATTGAATATTGAATGAATGCAACTAAGAGCCTGTGTACACACACATATATATACTTACAAAATACACACATATGTGTGTGTATTTAAGACCGTCGGCGGAGAAGCGCAAACACAAAGCATACACTTCATCTGTCAATATTTGAGTCTGTCTCGAATTCTTCGTTCTGGCTGTATGTTCTTTGTATTCTTAAGCCCTTCCTCTCCTTTGATCATTTTATTTTTCCTTTACACATTTATTATTATTTTGTTTAATTTTATATTTTTTGTATATTTTCTAAATTTTTTTGTAATTCAAACAAATGACACATCGACAGCCGGAGACTAGACGTAGAACCCGGGTATAGACACCCGATCACAGCATCGCTATTGCCGCTGCAACGTTAATGCACTTTGTGGCACATGTGAGCTGCTTAAGCCTCTGTGCGCGTTTTTACATTTAATGCTTAAGATTTCTGAATTCACTGTTTACTTCTCTCATTTACGTTGGTGAAGTTTGCCTCTATTCCTTTTTAGTAATGAAAAAAAGTTCAAGCGATTAATAATAATTATTAAATCATTTGTTCATGCTGGATGTGGATAAATATAAGTGGACCTCGACGAAGAAAAAGACTTTTAAACAAACGTCAAATTTTCTAAAATTTCGAGTTCTCGGCCGAATAAAAACAGCAGACTGATTTATTAGAACTCCGTAATCCGAGGATTCGAAATGAGGTTCATTGACAACAATCATTACCACAGAGAGAAGAGTTTATGCTTCTTCTGTAGCCCTTTAAGCGAAATTGAGCTCTATGATTTCAACAGAAATGCAAAGTTWTTTTTTCACAGGAATTCGTTTTATAGAATACAACTAATTTTACTTTTCAAGAAGACTTGAGTTTGCAAGATGSCTAAAGACAACAGGTGTATTAATGAATCGCTTATGAATGAAAGGTTAAATGCCATAACCTCAATAACTAGTWAACCTAGTTAARTCTGCTAAGGCAGAAGTTGGCAAAAGCCCAATAATTTAATCAGCCGATGTTAACAGAGATCCTACCTGGGCAGATTAGAATACTTTTCCCTTGTAATACCTAACACTCCTATATAATTGATCATGAAGTTTAAGTTTTTCAGAAACTCGTTGAAGTTTCGTCTATGTATCTTAGTTTGTCGAAGGTAYGACCGTCGAGATGTTTGGTCACGAAATGTTGTTGTTAAAACTTATATAACATTTTAAAACCGCTCATATTTCCATAAACCATAATTACTGAGCTAGTAAATGAAAAAGTTCAGTAAGGAAATAGCATCGGAAGAGTTGCAACTTGAAAATTACGAGCCAAGAAGAGCAAACATTGGGTATGCAAAAGAAAAGCCCTCCTTTGACCAGAGACAGCAGTTGAATTGTGGATTCTCTTCAAAATTAAAGAATGTACATAAAAATATTCTTAGAGATTAATAAAACWAATTTTTTGTTTAAATACATACATATATATTTAATTATAATAATATTTCTAAATTCCGTGGAAATAATAAGTAAGAGCAGCAAAGTATAGCGACCCATAAAGCTTATTCAGAAAGCTGACAAAGGATTTCATTTTAAGAAAACATTCAGCAGAATCTTTTTTTTTATTTTTATTTATCCATAAAAATGGTTTATATGTTTAAATCGAAGTAATCCTTTCGTTTGGACCAAGAAAAGTTCGAAATTTCCGAAAAAATCCGCTTCTGCACTTGAACCCCTAAACTTAGACGACAGTCCCGGACAATCCTATGGTTATCTGTAAACCATTAACCTGCGGCAAGGTATGGAAGATATACCTCAACTCACTTGTGGGCAATCACTCACTCCTTTGAATCGAAATACTCATTTCAATATGCATAATAGTCGATAAGTCGGTAAATTCTAACAGTTTGCAGCCGTCACCACAATTATAAACTTCAACCAGGGCTTAAACACATATATAATTGTTGTGTTTGTATAGCAGTGGCGTGTACAATCACATTGAGGGAAGACGAAATCTCTGAATTTGTCTGTCAAGGCGGAAGGAAGTCAACAATCCACTTAACCCAAAATGGCAAAATTCATTACACTCATTAACGCTATGGCAAACTTCGACTAATCAAAAGCAACAACAACAATAGTGGCAAAACGGTAGCAACTAAGTTTATTCAGTTCAAATCAGCACCAAGAGAGCAGCGCTCTGTTGATCCGCAGCACCGCCGACAACCCACCGCATCACTCCGAACTATGCCGCCGGTAAAGCAGACAGTTCGATGCTCACTAATGCCACATAGTTCGKGCCGACGCT